GTCAGAGCCTTGGCTGCTTTGGGCTGTGTGTCCTTGAGCTGCTCCCTGGGCCTCACTCAGCTGCGCTAAAGATGGGCCTCCCCTGCCTTGAAGTGAAGGTCTGAGCCTTGGAATTGCTGAGTGGGGGTTGTAGGAGTGGGCTGGGGGTTCTAGGAGTGGTTGTGCCTTGGGATCTTATGTGTGCCTAAACCTCTTTGACTTCCCCCAGCTCGGCGAGTTTGTTCAAGAGAAGATAGGACATCTCGACCAAACACTGCCTTTCTGTCTGCCTTAGGGACCTTACTCAGTGACTGTGGATCAGGTGATTCCAGCTGTGCCAGGTGCTGTCCAAAACCACAGAAGTACAGATATGCCAGTGCACAGAATCACATCCCTTTGGGTTTATGCCTGTATGTTTTGTTTTTACAGTAATTACTAAACCACAACTCGTTCTCCTCTGCACAAAGCCATTTGTCTCCTGTTGAACAGTAACCTTTTATTTGCTCATGCTGTGTAGCAGAGCTCAAGGACATGTTTACTGCCGATAGCCAAAATTTCACCAGAACAAGCATCTCCCTTGTCTGGATTTTTCCACCTTGATTTAAGTGGTTAAACCTCAGGGAAGGAGAATAGCCCTGTGTGCAAGGAGACAAGTGGGAGTTTGTGCTGTTCTTAGCCATGGAGAGAAAGCTCCCATCTCCATGGGCTTGGATGTGCATAACACTGCTGTGAGGGTCTCACCTCTGCCCGAGTAATTGCATTGTCAGGGATCTGTCGGACCTCGCTGTGTTTCTCGCTCACACTTCACCTGCTTACTTACAGATTTGAAATTGCAAACCCAACAGAATCCGTTCTTTTTCCCCTTTGCTCAGTGGTAAGTTTGGCTATTCCTGCCTCCCTTTGATGCTGAGGAGAGGAGGTGACAGGAGTGGGGTTTGGCTGTATGCTGAGATGTGTGATTCGGGAAGGGATGTTGGCTGGTTTAATGCGGGTTTTCAGATGCCTGCCTTGGCTCTGAAATCAGGCTGGCAGGGGCTGTGCTCCCACGGAGGGCAGAGGGCAGCTTTGTGCCTTGAAGATTTGACGACCTTTGTTCATTTGAAACGCCCTGGTTTTTTATGCCACTCAACAGGAGACTTTTTAATTTACTTCACTGGGCCTGGACGCTGGAGGTGGATGGATGGCTGATGGAAGTGAGGAAATAGATGGAAGAAAAAGAACATTTTTCTCCTGGGCTGTTTTTATGCACATTATAGCCTAGGGGTTTGCAACATGGGGGAGAGTAAAAAACCCCTGCAGAACCTGGGTCAGAAAATATAGTTCTCATGGGAACAAAATGCTTTTAACTTGCTGCATCAAAGACCCTCCGTTCCAGGGCATGCTCTGTGTTTGAATACATCTGCATTCCTCCAGAACTCCGTGTGTGAATGCACATGTATGTTGTGTGTATCTCTGTGTAAGTGTGTACTTTTACATGATTTATAATCTCAAAGCCGTTCCTGTCCACCTTGGAATAGCTCAACACTTGAACCTACTTTCTGGAGGAGTCAAAAGCAAAGAGCTCTCTGGCTCCAAAGCCCAGGTCTGTAGCTGGAACACCTGCCTGAGACTGATGTGTGAAAAACCCTCCTGGCTCCTGCCCTGGAAGCCCCCCTTGACTCTGTTCATCACAGCATCACCTCGGGCAGGGCAGAGGGCGAAGGTGAGCGGGAGGCTGCACGAGCACGTGGCTCTGTGCTTTAGCAGGGCCCTGCCCATTCCTGTCACTACAGGGTGAAGAATGGAGGTTGGAAATAGTCAGGAGCTTCTGTAAGCACTTAACATTCCTGATTTCATTTGTCTTTGATCTCACTTGGACTAATTTTACTCTCTTCTGATCCTTTCCCTTGAAGGGGCTTTTATCTCATTGTCAGGCTTGCTAATTTAGTGCGGTGTTTTGAACCAGACCTCCTCCTACGTTTCCAGAGCCTGCAAGGTATTTTTTCCTTAATCAGGGGGTGTTTATGCAGTTCTTTGAACATCTTAGGACAAGACTCATAGTGGGGCTTTTTGCAATGCCCAGTTTGGGTCCTGGACCCTGCTGCTCAACCTCTGTAGTTCAAATGGCCTGTCCCCCAAAACTGCAGTATTTTGGGGCTAAAAGGGCAGGAAGGAGGGCTGGATGATTTGGGACAGGTCAGAGCAGCCTGATGTTGGATTGGAAACTTCATTTGCCTGGCAGGAGGCCTTCCCAGGCTGTGCTAAATAACAAATAACAGTGGGCTGTCACATGTGTTTGACCAACCAACCAGACACTTGGATCCAGGTAGGTTTTGACTTTGTGGAAAAGAGCTGCGTGATTTGGGAATATAGAAACTTCACCACTTGTTTTTGAAAAGCAAGCTGGGATGGAAAGTGTGGAGCTATTTGTTCTTACTCTGCTGCAAGCAGGTTGAGTGGATTTTTTAAGGAATTGAAGTTTGAGAGGCTGATAATTGCTTATTACCATGGGAAGCTGCACTGCAGATCCCTGCTCTATTCCTGGCTGCCTGAGCCAACCAGCTGTCCCCTTGTGCTTCACCTTTGGAAGAGGAGGAATGTTTCCAGCAAAATGCCATTCTAATTGCTGTCTGAAGAAAGTAGAAAATAGGACAGATATATGGGCTGTTCCCCAAGCAATGAACAGGAGCTTCTAAGGACAACAAATGTAAGGGAAGACAAAGAATGAGGACTTTGGAGAAATGTCTGGATCGTTGCTTCTCCAGGGATGAGGGTTCTCACGTGGATGGGAGTTCTCATGACAGCATTTGAGCTGCCTCCTGTCCTTAGCTCAGCTGAGTTCTCCCTGGCCACAGACTGTTAACCCTCCCCTGTGTTTGACCTTGTCACCTGCACAGGTATTTGGGGGGCTTGATTTCTCCCTATTTCATACAGTGTTTTGGTGCTGGCTGTCTTGGAGGGAAGGCTTCCAGGGGCAATGTCTTTCCAGTACCTTTGGAGCAGCCTTTCAGGTTCGTGTTCCCTTGCTTCTACCCTCCTGTGGAGCCACTGAGTGAGTTCTGTAGCTTGCTGTGATCCTCAGAGGACTAATCTGCTCCAGGAGAATGAGTGGGCAGAACTGCCCTTACAAGGAGGGGTTTGGTGGCAGTCCCTGTGTAGTGGCCTGGACCTGCCAGGGCTGTGCTGGCTGACAAATCCAGAAATTGCATTGTGGTGTGTGCATGTGGGGAGCTCAGTGGCTGCTGCTTCTGGCTGTGCCTTCTTCCCACACAGTGTGAGTCAGCAGTATGGTGGAAGCATCCATGCGGGAAAACCCTAAATCCAGGGACTTGCAGGCAGCTCTGTGTTGGCAGTGGCTGCCCCTTTGTCCTGGAGTACAGCACCTGGCTGTTGTGCTGACTGTGACATGGGCATCTCTGCACCCTGCTGGAGTTTGGCTTTGGGAACTGGGAGATTGCCCCCTGGATGAGCTAGTGAAGGTGACAGTGCTTGGGACGGGGTCTGTTCTCTCCCATAATGATGGCAATCAACAGCCAGCAGGCAAGTAGGGACTTGTGTAGCCTCCTCATCGCTCAAGGGACAGAACTGGCCAAGTCCAACTCTTGGTGGTCGTTCTACCACCCAGCAGTGATGACAAACCTGACAAGTTCCCATCCCGTGGGCACCGAATCGGCCCCGCACGTGGGCAGGGTTGAACCCTTCCTTCCAGGGGCACCTGCGGTTTCTGGCACACGCCTTGAAATAATTCCATCTCCCTGCACGTGTAATTTTGCGTGTCATTGCCCCTAATTGCATGCTTAACACACAGTCTTTTAAAGTGCAGCCCTTTTATCAGCAGTAGGTAGTAGCAGGTTTAATAGGGTGTTTGAATTCCTATAAAATTAATCTGTAGCCTTCTGCGATAGGAGACGGGCAGGGAGCCATGTGGTTCATATCCAGTGTTGATAAACTTGTTATAGAGGCAGGAAACATTTCTGATTGGAGCAGTGACAAAATAATTTGGAGCGGAGCCATAAAAAGAGTGGATGGTGATGGTTTGAGCACAGCAGAGATTGAAATTGCTGGTGTGTGGAAGCAGCGCTGCCAGCTAACATTGACTTAGTGTCTCTGGAGGACTCTAACGGCAAATGCATTTTATTAATGGCAATATTCTTTTAGGAAATGCTGAGCATTGTTTCAGAGGTGGAGCTCCCCTCGAGTACGTGGGTTTGGAAGTTGGCCAGACCAAGATCTGCTCAGCTGAGCTTGCTGCTGGTCACTGCTCCGGCCTCAGGCTGCAGCAGGAAGGTTGCCTAAGGGCACGTGCTGGGTACTGTCTGCTAGCAATTGGAATATCCTTTTCCAGTGGGGAAAATGGACCCATCCATTCTCATTCTGGCTTCACCTATAAGGGGTAAAATGCTCAGAGACAGCAGGTCATGTTTTTAGCCATTCTTTTGTTGTCTTTGCTTTGAAACGAGTTTCCCAGTCCATGAAAGTCAGTGGGAGTTTGCTGTCTTAATGGATTCCCAGCTGGACTTGAGCTCTTACTGCCACTGAGAGTGGGACCTGCTCCAACCAAGTTGTGGTCACTGTTATGGGGATCCCATGCTGGGTTTGGATACCTGTGCAACTTAGTTGTCCTGTGGGGGTTGATGAGCCTTGGAGGAGGCTCTGGTGTGCAGGTGAGGGGGGAGCCTTTGCTTGTCATGGGCAGCCATGGCAGGTTGGGCCCTTACTGCATCTTCTGTGCTTGCTCTTGCTGTTGCCGTCACTTCACTGTCTTCCAGCTGTTTTCTGCTTGAATCCAGCCTGGAAAAAGCAAGTGTGGATGGGAGAGGTGGCTGCTGGAGCCGGTGGGGGGTGGCAGAAATGGTGCAGGTTGTGCAGCCCAGGGGTGTGTGATGGAGAATGCAGTGTGCAAGTGTCATGGGAGGTGCTGGCCACCTCACAGGGCTCAATTTCACCTGGTGTCTCCAGCCACGCTTCCTTTGCTGTGTAAAACTGGGATGTGATTAACCAAGGAAAGCAAACCCTTCTGCAACACTGTCTTCTCTTTGCAGGGAGCCTGTTGGAAGGGGAGTCTCTCGACCTGAGCTGTAGTGCTGGTCCTGCAAAGGTGATACTGGAGCCAAACCAAGTAGTGGTTTTGGACTGTAACCTGACCCCTGCCGAGCAAGTGATCAACATCACATGGAAGAAGAATGGGTTTCCATTAGTGGAGCAGGAACATCTCCACGTGCTTCCGAATGGATCGCTCTTCATCTCATCCCAGGCTGTGGCAAAGGACAGTAAAAATCCCAGTGCTGAGGGGAATTACTCCTGCGTGTCTCACAGCTCCCTAGGGACTGTCACCAGTCAGACAGCTGCAGTCAGGTTTTCAAGTAAGTGTTCTGGGTTTTTGTTGATCTTCCTTCCCCTCCTGGTATTTATACAGAGCACCTGCCTCCCTGAGAGTTTGAGATAAAGTGTCTATGAAGTCAAGTTCTATTAATGATATATAGGGGATTAGGGATAGTCCACAAATAAGCAGCATTGACTTCCTGTTATCCCACTGTGAGCATCCTGTGTAACTCTCCCAGGTGACTGCCATCAGCCATGAGTTAAAAACAGGACCCTCCTCACTCTCCAATAGGCAGGGCTTGCTTTTACAGAGAACTTCACAGCCCTGAGGGCAGCACCTTGTGCCTGGGGAGGTGACTGGGGGGGTCTGGCTGTGACAGCTTGTGAAGTGAATATCTTGTGGTAATGGAGGAGATGAGAGAAAGGGCTCTTCCAGGTGGTTTCTGTTCGGATCTCTGAGAAGGACATTCCAAAGTCTGAACCACTGAATCTTTGCACAGCGTTCAAGAATAAAATTCCTTTGTGTTTAGGGGTGGTTCCTGGAGCTATTTTAAGACTGTGAGTGCCAATAAATGATTCCTTGATGTACAAAACAGGTGAGATTAGAAAATAATGCAGATACAGCAACACTTCTCTCTAGTACAGTGACTTATGGAAACATTGCTGAATGCAGGTGCACAGGACACCATCAGGGTACTTGATCAGAGCTGTGGTGGGTGAAGATGCAGAGTGGATGTTCTGACACCCTCTATACACTGGGATGTTTTCAGCCTCTGGTAGCCCAGGCAGGGCTGTCCATGTTTGGCCAAGTGGGTGTTTCAGGCTGTGAGTGCTTTGCTGTAGAAACCAGCATTGTTGGTGAAGCTTTGCCAGATCAGGGGAAAGTCTTTTACCTTTGCAACATGTCCTGCTTTTCTGCTCAGAAAATGTTTAGCATGCAGCAGCCACAGATTGCTGGTCACTCGTCCCTCCTGTTCCCTCCTTTCTGTGATTTGTGGTGCCAGGTAAATAGCTGGTTCCAGCATTTTGTTAAGTGAAAGGACCCTGAGGGCTGTGGGGATGGAGTCAGGGATCCTGCATGGAGGTATTTTCTGGGGAGGTTGGAGTCCTGGAGTAGAAAAGCTGTCAGGAGTTCAGGAGGATTTATTCAGCTGCTCCTGCCCCAGTTCCAGACAGCCAGAATTGGGATATATTCCCTTTTGGGAGTGATTTGTGTTGAAGTTTGCACTGTGCCTCTTGCCTGGTTGCAATGATTTGTGTCTCTCTTATGGTCCTGGGTTTGGTGTTTGATTTCTCATGAGTGAGAACAGTAGAGACACCTCAAAACCAGAAGACTGATTTAAATTGCCCTTCCCTCCCCCTGGATTTTTCCAGAGGAGCCTACATAGGTGATGCCTCTTTCCATCTAATTCTGAGTTTCTCCCAGAAACGAGGAACTTCAGGTGAACTCTTTCCTTGCATGTACTCATGTGTCTCATTTTATTACCATCTGCACAGGGAAAGTGCTGCCTCCGTGGCACACACGTGCACCTGACATACCATAATACCCACTGCTGAGCAGAGAGCAGTGAGGGGATTGATTAATGAAATGCATCTCTGCTTCGATTTGTTCCGTGGGCTGGGCAGGAGCCCTTGCTCCATGAGCATTCAGCTGGAGCAGGTGAGGACTGTAAAGGCCTGGGATTTTCCACTGCCACTGAACAGGGGCTCTCCAAAGCTGTTTGCTCGTGGATGGAGTTATTCTTTGTGCTGATTGCCCTGGGCGCTGCTGATCAGGACGGGGCAGTAGAAGAAAACCTGTTCAGCAGGTGGGATGTGTTATTCCTGCCATCAGCTTGTTCTTCTGGCCTGCAGGGCCTTTCCTTCCCTGGGATGGGGATCCCATGTGGGGATGTGGGTCACTCAGTGTGTCACTGAGTCTTGCAGTGACAGGTAGGAGGGGTTCACAATACCCGCCTTTCTCTGCACTGCTTTGGTGCTGTTAGTGTGTCTGCCATGTTTCAGGGAGTCCCCTTCTCCTCCCTGGCAGCCCCAGAGCAGTTCTGGCACCTCTGTGTAAGGGCTGCCAGCTTCCAGGTGGAGGGAGGGGACACTCCAGGCAACCTGGAGCTGGAAGAGGCTCTTTGGAGCAGTCAGGCTGGAGTGATGAATGTTGCATGGTGTGTGCAGGCTGTGGCACTGTGATGACTTCCATCCTTCCAGGGTGGCCCAGGAGTTCAGTTTGTTTGCATTTTGCTGGATAAACACGTGGCTCAGAAGTGCCCAGTGTTCCCTGGCACTCTGTATGCCACCAAGGGAGATGTGCGCCACAGTCCCCATCCACACCTTGTGGCAGTGGTGGCCGTGGCAAATGAGGAGGAGCAAGGCTGTGAGGAACGTGGTGTGAGTGTGTCTGTTAAATGAGCAGCTGCTCAGGCTGATGAATCAGGTTTGTGGGTTTCTCAGATCCCTGAGTGTTCCCACATGGAAATACCAGGGGCGTTGTTGTAGCTGTGGGAAGGTGTAGCTTTCTACCTGTTAATAACTACATTGGTGGAGATTTGTTAAAGCTTTTAATTTAGCTTAAACATTTTGTGCAAAGGGAGGTTGTAGAAAATTACAGTAATTGTGACTGTCAGATGAAGACGTTTGCTGTGCCTGGAGGGAACGGGCAGCGCCTGTGGCTGCTGGCAGCGAGCTCAGGAGAGGTTTGGAGTGTTCCTGCACCTGGAGGACAGGCTAAAGCAGGAATCAACCCACATGGGCTCTCATGATCCTCTCTCCACACGCACAGCGTGTCTCCTCTGCGGTGCACGGTGTGTCTGGGATTTGAGGAACAGCAGGCTGGGATTTGCTCTTACTTTAAGGATTTATTTTATGGATTTTATCCTATTTATTGTGTGGATTAGGTGCATAGGTGAGTGAAGGCTGATGACTGTAGGCAGAGCCAGGCTGGGCAGGGTGAATGCACAGGCTCTGGACCATCCGTGGATGTGCTGCTTTGAGTAGGTGGGGAGCTGGTGCCTGTGGAGAGCAGGAGCAATCCTGTGCCTCCCTGTGGCCCCTCAGGCTGAGCCTGTGCTGGCTCTGCCCTGGGGCCCTGGCAAATCACTCCCATGGCTTTCTGTGCATGTCCCCCTTCCACCCCCGGCCTGTTCAGAGGTGAGTGGCTCAGGGATGGGTGATCTGGGTGGTGTATGTGATCTCAGTGGGGGCTGAAGCCGCCCCCATCTTGGAAACACCTACTAATAATTACAGAAGGTACAAAGAGGACGAGTACACAGAGTCTGGGGGCAAAGCGCTGTGGGAGAGAGCAGTGAGCCCCTTTCAGAAGGCTGAATTCCTTGCATAGACTGCATTTTCTGCCTGGGGTGTAGTGTTGCTGGCTGGCAGTCTTTCCAAGCTCACAGCCTCCTGCATGGATCATGCTGCTGGGAGAGGGGGAGGGTGCTGTGTTTCACCATTCCGCAGTCACCCCTGGGCTCAGGGCTAAAAGCCTTGGCACACACGGCTTGGCTCCAGCTGGGTTTAACATGTCAGCGGGGAGGGAGCTGCTGCTCCACCCCTGGAGGTGCAGAGCCCGGCACTTTGGCATGTCACTGAGGGCAATTTGCTGTAATGCTCTTCACCTTCTCACCTGCAGTGGGTAATTTTTACTGAGTGGCCTATTAAGGTGTTCAGGATAATCAGTGTAAGGGGCGAGGAGGTGTTTTGTGACTCGGGATGGCTTTGCAAGCTAAACCTTAGCCGAGGAGTGGAAAATAATGTTGAGTGTGTATCGTCTTTGTTTGCCTCTTCCCCTCAAGCACCTCCTTTCCCTGCCTCCCTACGTGAAAACCTCTCACTTTGCAGCACTTCTGCAGCAGCCCTTCCATCAGAACATGTTTGTGGGGGGAGAACAGCCCCTCCAAGGATCCCCGTGGCCCCGGGGTGAGCAGTGTGTTGGAGCCTGTCCTGCACTCACTGTGACCCGTCTGTGCAGTGCATCAGAGTAGCAGGACCTGCTCTCCTCCCACAGCAGCCTTGCCTGATTCTTTTTCCTCCCAGCACCAGCTGTTACCACCACAACTCTGAGCCCGGGTTTGGTAGCACTGGAGGTGCTGGACATGTTCTGCCTCTTCCATTTCACCCTGGTGCCCCTTGGGATGAGAGAGGGATCACAGCTTTCTGTGGTCTTGGCCCCAGTCTGATGCAGATGCTTGTGGAGCAGCGATGAGCCTGACCAGCACGATTGTGCCTGAGCCTTGCAGGGCTGAGATCCAGGGGTCTTGTTCAGTCCTGCATCAGAGGAACCTTTTCACCGTTCTTACCTTGGTTTGGTGTTGCTTTCTGTGCACAAAAGATCCCTGTTTGTGTTCCCATCCTCTCCTTCGCCAGGGAGGCTTCAGGCTGCTGCTTGCAGAGGCGATTTTTTCCAGTCTATCCCTACCCCCACTATCCTCATCCTGTCAAAGGAATGTGACAGAGCTGCTCAGCTTCTGAATTCCCCCTGCCAGAGTTATCACAAGAAGGTACTAACAGCCAAACCAGTTTGCTGGGCATTGCCAGGGCTGAAGCTCTGGCACCCACAGAGCTCCCAGCTCTGCGGGGAAGCTGTGACTCCACTTGGGAAGCCTGACGGTTCCTGCTGCTCCGAGCGAGAGGGACACTCCCTAATCAGGGTTGCTGTTTAGTCACGCTCCTCCACATCCTAATGAGGAATCTGTCACGGGCACATTTCTTGGCTCTTTGCTTTTGAAGAGCCATTCCAGAGCCCAGCACAGCAGGCAGATGGGGCTGTGGATGGAGGTGAAGGGCAGGATTCGGTTCTCAGCAGGGAATTTCAAGCTTGCAAGCACAGGTCTGGCAGGTGATGGGCAGGAATAGCCAGGACAGGTTATGGCCTGGTAGCCCAGGAGGCTCTGTCACATTTTGTACACCAATATGATGCTACTTAATAATGAACAGCAGAGAAGCAGGTGACCCAACGTGAAGCAGAGGAAACAGAGATGCCTACAGATTTCTTCTTTTTAGAGGGATTCCTCCCTCCCATCATGACCTTCCCAGGTACATGATCCTCCAGAGCCTGCCAAAATACTATCATTTATACCTGTGGGATGAAAAGAAAATAATGGGGAAGATGATTAAGGATATTTGCTGCCAGGAGAAGCTTGTTTTGATGGTGCCATCCTGAACATGTGCTGGCACTTGATGGATTTTCTTTAAACTCTTGGGTTCAGCAAGTTTTATTAACATGAGCTTAAAAGATCTTGTAATCTGTAGAAATGACTCTGTGTTAAGGGGGTCTGCAGTGTATATTTGAGCATACTAAAGCAGTTGGCTGAATTTAGGCCTTACATATTAATGTCTTTTTCAGGGTTTTTTTTTCCAGAAAAATATTTTTCATTGCCATTTGTATGGAATTGGAAAAGTAGACTTGGTGGACAGCTGGTGGGAGAATTTGGTCTGTAGCTGCTGCAGAGAGCAATGAGTTGCTTGAAACATGTGATAACTATTTAAATTAAAGAAAAACACTAATGACAGCTGAGAATATGCCGAGGTTAAAATGGGTCATGTAAAAGCATTTCATTTTCAAAACTCTACATACTTTCTCAAGCTAGCACTGCAATAAAGCGTGTTTGTGTGTGCCTGGATGTTTGTGTGTGTGAGATGCAAAGAAAACTTCAAGTCTGGAGTCCTACAAAATCCAGAGCAATGATGGATGTTCTTGGAAAGCGGTGGTGGGACAAGCACACGATTGTGTTGGAGGGCCAGAAGGTCACTTGGGGTCCTTATGAGCACAGTGCTGTGCTTGGCCCAGCAGTCAAGTGTGTTTTCTGGCTGAAATTTATGTCTATTGTGCCACGTTGAGGGTTTCTGGCACCGTGTTCCAGCATTGCTGGATGGCTTGTACGGCAGGGTGGGTTTCACAGCAAGGGCGGTTTAACAGAGACGTATTGAAAGAGGAGCCAGTTCTTGTGGTGGAGAAGAATACAGGCTTTCTGCCCTCATCCAGGAGCCTGCATGAATATTCAACTCTCCACCGTGTGACTGAGATGCCTTGGGGTTATGCCATTGATAGGACAGATGCTGACAGCCCCGGGGGAGGATTTCTGCTCCTGGAGTCAGCAGGGTTTTGCTCTGTGCATGGAAGGGGAGGAAGAGGAGGCAGCTGCGTGTGAAGGATGGGCAGGGTGCGGTCCAAGAGCAATCCCAAACCTTAGTGCTTTGTCTCCAAAACAAGTTCACTCTATAGTAAAAGACACAGGGGTGAGCCTTGGAGAGCAAACAAGTGTCCTGGCATTCATGAAATCCGTCCTCCTCCTCTTAGCAAGGTGTCTGTGTCCCTTTGGCTGCATCCCATCTGCCTGAGTAGGATGAGGTTGGTTTTTGCAGGTAGGAGAAGGAGGGTTGTAACCCTTGCAGCCTCTGCCCCTGGTCTCCAACACTGCCAGCCCGTGGGCAGTTGTTTCATGTAAATAACTTACCATCTGGCTTTATTCTTCCTCTTGCCTTGCTTTAATTTCCTGTGGCTGCAGGAATGCTACAAGACAAGGGGAAACTCTCATCTCTCCGGCTGTGGCATTTCCCTTCTGTTTCTCATTGTGCATGTCCTTCCCAAATTGAGCAAGGGAAAAGACAAGGAAGCAATTTAGGAAGGTAGCTGCTGAAACCAGCTAATTGCCTGCCTTTCTCTCACGCTGTTGCCTTGAGGGAGAAAATAAGGCAAGAAGCAAATTTGCAAATTGAAACCTTTCAGTTACTGTTGCTAGGACTGCTGAGGGTCTGCAGGGCACAGAAAAGGGAGGAATTGCTCTTCAGGTTGTCTTCGGGAGAGAAAAGCCTTCCTCATAGCTCATGCATCATAGCAGGTTTGCATTGATCAGCAGAAGCACTGAGTTATTAACTTTCCTTCCCTTTTTCTTTCCCCAGCATTGTCACGCTTTTTCCAGCAGCCAGAGTCACAGACGGTGGAAGAAAATGGCATGGCCCGGTTTGAGTGTCGGATCGAAGGGCTGCCCTCCCCTGTCATCACGTGGGAGAAGGACCATGAAGCTGTTCCAGCAGAACCCAGGTGATTTCCTGGTTGCTCTCCCGGGTCAACTTGCAAAAGAGCAAAACAGAACCTGACCATTCAGGATGTGGAAATTCTTTGTAAGAAGGTGGAATGAAGAGATGATCAGGTTTGGACCTGATAATTAAGTGATTTAGGAGGAGGTATTTGAGAGGCCCATGCAACATATAAAACACCTAAATAAAATTAACTTTCCCCCAAAGATCCAAGCTACAGAAGACAAAAACCCAAGTTGATATTGTGCTGTGTTACAGCACAGAACCTGTGTGTGCCTGGGACAGGGCACGGCAGCTGCAGCGTGGACTGCCCTTGGCTCGTCCTCTGTGCACAGTGAGGTGGAATTCTTCGGGGGACTGGGACCTGGCATGAGCAATATTTCTCCAGTTGACCATGGGGTACTGGGTGTACCCAATTGAACTCCATGATGTGGTTTTTCTTTTTTTGGTTGTGGATTTAGAGACAGTTGTTTTCTTCACCAGTTTCCCACACGGATTTATCTCAGGGTTAATGACTCTTCTAGAGCACAGTGTGTGCTCAGTAACCTGGGAGGTCTTTCTCTTTGTTTCACTCCCACGTTGGGAGGGCATCTAATAAAAGACCCTGAATTTTCCTTTTTTTTATTTTTTTGGAAAATATGAGAGTCCTGCAGCATGATACCTTTTCCTTAATGAAAGTCAGTTAAAGGCATGAGAAGGGGATAAACTATTAGTTGGCTGTTAGCTGGCCTGTAGATATGACTTCTGTGGGGGATCAGTCACTGAATTGTCCTTTAGTTCTTAAAAACTCCTTTTCTTTTCTGCAGAAGGAGCTATTTCCTTCCCAGAGAAGTTAATCCAAGATGCAGGAGAGGAAAAAAAGGGGTGGGGTGAGGTTCAGGAATACTTTTGCAGCAGTGGCTTTCTGTAAGAATAACCACTTATATCCTTGAGTCCAAAGTGTGGCATCTAAAGGTTTATAGGAGGCTGTTGCTTTGTAAGGAGAAGAAAATTAATTAATAAAAAAGGAAGGGGAAAAAAAACCAAAAAAGAAGGGATTGCTTGGAGAAGTGTGCCATAGATAGGGCAATGGCTTTTTAATGAGACAGCTCGATGGATATTGTGAAATTACTTGCTCAGGGATTGCTTTCATCACAGGCAGCCTGAAAATTGTTTTCCTTGTAAAAGCCAGGCCATAATCTCTGGCTGCAAATCTTGCTTTTTAAATCATGTTCTAGCTAATATGGTTTTTCAGAAGGATTTGCTTTTTTTGTTGTTGTTGTCTAGTTGTTGTTGGATTTAATATAACCGGCTTTCGAAGGAATTAAGTGAATTCCAGGAAATGCTGGCTGCCAACCAGAGCTCTGTGTTATCCTCCCTGCATCGTGCCTAAGGACCGGATCTGAGGCTGCCCTGGTTGCTGTGGGCTCCCTCCTGTGCACACAGGGATGAGCCTGTGCAAATGCAATCCTGTGGCTGGGCAGGGGTGGGGGGGATGATTTCATAGTCCAGAACAGCAGGGTTGGGAGGGGTGCAAAATCAGGCTCTGGGGCTGGAGATACAACCCTGGAGTAGTGCTATTACACCAGTGCTTGGGATTTCTTTTAAGACAGAGAGAATAATCATGGAAAACTCACATTGCTTCCCCCTCTTCCCCCCTCTTCCTTTTCCACTTCCCCTTTTCTTTCTTTCTCTTTCCCCCTTTTCTTTCTTTCTCTTTCCCCCTTTTCTTCCTTTCTCTTTCTCCCTTTTCTTCCTTTCTCTTTCTCCCTTTTCTTCCTTTCTCTTTCCCCCTTTTCTTCCTTTCTCTTTCCCCCTTTTCTTCCTTTCTCTTTCCCCCTTTTCTTCCTTTCTCTTTCCCCCTTTTCATTCTTTCCTTCCCCCTTTTCTTTCTTTCTTTCTTTCCCACTTTTCTTTGTCGATCTTACCTTTGGGCACTCATTTCAGCCTTTGCCCCTGGATGCAAGTTCTAACATGGCACCCCCTCAAAGATACTGAAGGCTGAGCTTAAAAAATACTTAGACACCCTAAAGGGTAGCAAAGTGCTGATTGGTGTTTTTGGAATACCTTTCCTGTCCCTGTTCAGGACAAAATCTGAATTCCGTGTGTGAGTAAGGCACAGAAGTATTTTGCAATTCTGGCTCTGAATTATGTTGAAAAAACACGATCTTAAATCTGCAGCAGCTGCTGAGAGGTGGCTTGCAGGATTTCTCTTGACTGCAGTTGCTCTGGGGTGTGTGCAGCATCTCTTGGCGTGATCTCTTCTCTCTTTAGGTGCTGGCTGGGTTTCACATCAGGCTCCAAATTGCTGTTTATTTTCTCTAGAGCCAAGATGAGCACTTGCTATGAACCAGAGGCCTTTGGAGGTCTGCACAGCACATCCATAACCTCCAGATCACATGCTCTGCAATCACAGTATATTTTTCCACATTTTGGCTAAGGGAGGGTTTTATCTGTGTGAAGAGTTTTATTTCTGTGCAGTGTCAGGAGAGCCTTAATATGGCTCATGTTCAAATAGGGCTCTTGAGCTGCGAGGAAAAGGACTCTCAGACTTTGAGTCTGCAACAGAGCTGCAGGTTCCTCACTGTCCTGAGGATTGGTGCTTTAGTCTGCTCTGGACACCTTCAAAAGGCTGCAGGAAGGGTGTGCTGGCACTTTACTGGGGAGAACATAGGAGAGGGAATTGGGCTGTTAGTGCTGGAATGTTCTGTGAGCTGTAGGGTTGCAGGTTTTGGACACAAGGTAGCAGTGCTTGATTTCAGTTCTTACGCGCTGCCCTGGTGAGCAGCTGTGAGCCCCTCTGTGCTCTCAGGTACAGTCTGCTCAGGGAGGGGAACAGCTACACGTGCATGCCCTGTCGCTGTTGCTCTGTGTCCATGGTAGTTGTGCCCTGGTCTGAGTGTGCTGCCCTTCAACCTGCTCCAGGTGGGGCACTTGCCTTTCACTGCCCTTCAAGACTAGCTCCTCTGTGAGATCCTGACACTGCAGCTGTCATCAGCAGTACTCTTGAGACTGCCACGGTTCCAGCGTGTCTGTCTGTCCTTTGGTTTTTGTTTTCTGCTTAATCCACAAAGAAGGTGAGCAGACAGAAAGCTCTGCCCTTTGCGTAGAAGAAAAGCCCTCGGCAACTGTCTGCTCTGAGTCATCAGGGAAACTTCCTCGCAGAGAGCCTGGGGATGGGGCAAGTGCCCTTGCAGGCTGCCTGGAGGCTTCTAGTTCAGGGCTGCTGGGGCCCTGAGGAGCTGGAGGCTTTGTGAGCAGCTAGGACAAATGGTAGATGGAGAAATCCTGCCTTTCTTCCCTCCTCGCTTCCCCAGCAGAGCGATCCTTACCTCTGCAGTGCTTTCCCAACAGGATGTACTGCATTAAATAGACCTCTACCACTGGCCTTGCTGAAGGGATCATCTGAAGCTCCGTGTTGATGGAGTCTTCCCACTCACCCCCTTGTCTCCAGCCCCTGCTCACTTTAGAAACACAGTGACTTGTTTTCTGCCCTTAAGAGAAGCTGAGACTGTTGGGTATGACTGTGGGCACGGTTCTGACCCCGCTCTGAGAGGAGAAAAGCCACAGGCAATTTCCAGAGGTCCTTCCTAGCCTTGTTGAATCTGTGATACATAATTGGAGTGTCTTTTTGTGGCTGGGAGATGCCTTGCCTGGTGTTTGAAATATGTTGATATTAATTACAGACTCAAATAGCAGATGCACGACAAAAATAAATATTATCGCAGTGGGAGGCTTTCCCTCCACAGAGCTGAGGGGATGCAAATATTTGTCGTCTTTCTCTTCTCCCAAGTCCTGATGAGGCATCCTGATGAGGGCTTTTGGGTACTGCCTCCTCTGAGGTCTCTGGAGCTTGATTCTGAGCAAAGTGTCTTTGTAAGTAGTGGGATCGTGGCTTTAGGGATGTAAAGCATTGTGGCATTGGGTTTGTGTACATGGGAAGCTTCAGCTGGTCTGTGTCCATGAATCAGGCTGTAGGATTGTGCCAGTAGAGGCAGAATGGTCACTGGAGGAGCTCTGGTAGCTCTTGAGGACAAGATGTGATAAGCTCAACTACAGCAGCTGAGGTCCAGGATTGATGCTAGATTTGTAGCAGGGACATTTGTCTCTAGAACAGACTGCTCAGGGTAAGGGTTGTGTTTCCATCACTGCAGATTTAGGAAAAATGTTTGCAGGAGCAGATGTGTGTTTGGGGACCATGGTTTGAATGCAGGATGAGTGATCTCTTAAGGTCCTCCTGGCTCCATGACCCTCGTTCATGGCACTCCAGCTGTCTCAGCACCTGGAGAACCACAGTTTTACTGACTGTGATCTTTGTGGATGGCAGGACTGGCATTCGTGGTTATAACTTGTCTTTGTGCTGTTCCCGTGGAATAGCTGCTATCCCTGCCCTCAGCAATTGCCTTTGAATGTGTCCTCTTCATAATGAAGACTGATAACCCAGAGCTGCCTGTCAAACCTCAGCAGCTCTGTTTATATAGAGACTTGCAATTAAAAATGGATCTCATATATAATTAAAAAGGATCACGTAGGCTTTGCGTTCAAGAATAAAGAGGCTGCCATCTAGGAATCCAGGCAGAAAATGGAGATGCTGACAGCCAGCTCCTACTTTTATGCTAATTGCTAATCATCAGCTTTGTTCAGTGTAGTGCAGCAAGGATTGTGTTCATGTCGTGAGCCTTGTAGCCATTTCGCTCCGTGGAAGTGTTGCTCAGTAGCACCCCATGGGCGAATGGGGGGATTCTGAGTGCCCAGCTGTAAGTTTGTCAGCTTCTGAAAAGCCAGAAACTTGTGGAAAGAGGAAAGGAATCACCACAACCCAGGAATGGTTCAGGTTCACAGGCTGTGCTGTGGCTGCTTTGGCCCATGAAGGTGCAGCCGTGTATCAGTTGGTCCCTTCATGCACTTGAGGTGCAGCAGGAAAAGGATGATGTTCAGACTTCTTTGCAATGTGTTTTTTTCTCTGGCAGCCAAATCTTTGTGAAAAGCAAGTGCTGAAACTGGCTGTAGTGTATGTTCAAGCACCTGTGTGCTTGGAGACATTACAAGTGTGTACATAGATGTGTGTGTGTGTGTGTATGGAGTTGGTTTGTACTGTCAGATGGTTTGTGTCAGCAAAGCCCTCTTAGCTTGGTCTCTCAAAAGCAGATTCTGTATGGTGAAGACTCCAAGGTGATGGATAGGTCTGTATCTGCTGCTTTTGAAGAACCACAGGTTGGGTTGCTCAGAGGTTTCTTGATCCCACTCTGCCGTCATTACCAAGACACGAGACATTTGGTGGGGAAAAGGAAGGGATAAAAGGGCTTTGAGGGATCAATAGCTCAGGTAAGGCACAGCCTGTCTCACACTCTTGCTTTTGCTCACTCAGGTTTATAACTCTTCCCAATGGTGTCCTCCAAATCGTGGATGTGCAGGAGAGTGATGCCGGCGCTTATCACTGCGTGGCCACCAACGCCGCCCGAAAGCGCTACAGCAGCGATGCCACCCTGAGCGTGGTGAAAGGTAAGGAGCTGGCAGGAGCCTGCTGGGCTGGGCACAGGTCTGCCAGGTGCTCACTGTGTGTGGTGGCAAGCTGGGCTGAAACACCCGTGGCCATCCCTCCTGCTGGCGTGGCTCTGCACGTGGCCAGCTTTGGTTAAAACTTGCAGAGAAGGCGTTTTGTGAAAGGTTTCTCTCTTTACTCTTATGGGATAAGCAGGCTGGGTTGGGAGGACTCCTTTGTGCCATTAGAAGGGGTCCCTGTTTGCACCTTAGGAAGTGCAGCATTGTTGCAACTCATCTCCAGTGGCCTTGGATGGCAAGACAAGCGAAGGCTAGTATGGACAGAGGAAGGTGTTTCTCAAGTGAGCAAGAGAAGGAGTTGGAGGCTGGAGTAGTTGGCAGGACTGTGTCTACCAGGGTTGCCCAGCACAGGCCAGAGGAGGTTGAGCACAGTGACATCTGACTTGCATGCTGTGTCCATATTGCTGGCTCTTTGCTGAGTGCTGGGTAGGCTCCAGGGATCTTTGTGTGGTATTTGGGAACAGCCTCAGCTGGATTTCCTCTGGTGACACAGGCCTTTGGAGCAAGGTTCTGGGTGTGAGCTGTCCTTCACCTCCTAGTCTGGGCCTCAGTCTCTGAGTGCATTTTTCTTTGTAAACCAAGAGTGCAATGGGCAAGTCTGGACATGAGAATGTAGCTGAGATCATGAGTGCAGTGGGGATCTCCAGACTCCAGCATCCTTCCCAGCATGCCTGGCTGCCTCCCCAGCATTGTATAATCCCCTTCCTGCAAGTGGACAAACTCACCATGGCTGGGAGTCTGGCTGAGCTGTCCCTTCTCTCGGGACAGTGTCCCCCTGCCACACCTGTCCCCTGTTAGTGCTGACCCTGGTGTATTTTGCAGGCAGCTTTAACCTTGAAAGCTCCAAAATCCTTCCCAACCCCTTTTGTCTTTGTTTGGGATTGTGTTGCTTGGCATTCTGCTCCCAGTGTAATTTCACAGCGATGGCTTTGGTGTTCATCCATCAGCAGGGAGTGTAATTAACTGGGGAGCCTGAGAACACACCTCTGATCAATGGATTGTGTCGTGGAGGTAATCTGGGAGGAATCTGCAGTGAATTCGTGAGCGGTTGAAAGCTCTGTATCTAATTGCCAGCCCCTGCCAGATCCTCTGTGTGTTTAATGAAGCACAGAGCTGAGGGGAGTGCTTCCCGTGGGCAGTTCCACACTCCAGAGACAGCTCCCGTGTTGGGCACGGTTTGCCATCGATAACTGATATTGATCGAGCTGCAAAGGTGAATTCGCTGTCCTTGGCATCATGACTCGTTCTGCATAATTGCATCTTGTAGCTCTGCAATGTTTAATCTGCTTTGCAAATGGAGGCAATGGAAGAGGTTAAATGGGAAGCGTTCCTTCTGGAGCACCAGCCGGCCCAAGCAGATTTCTGCCTGGAGTTCTCACCCAAATCTCTCTTCTGCAGCACCACACCACCCGCTGGCTGCTAAAACAAATATGCGAGGTTGAGTTTTTCACCAGATTGAGCTGATAGTGATGAAAAACATGCCTGTTAAATCTCTGGGGTTTTTTATAATTGGGGAGAAGTATCTCCAAGACAGATGGGAAACTGCAGTGACCTGTGCAGGCTTCAAACTCCTCCACCAGTGACTGGCATGGTATTGATCCTTTTTCGTTTTATCACTTCACCATCAGAGGGACATTTTGGGATGCCCGGACTGGCTTGAGGAGTCTTTCCTCCCTGTTCAGAAGCAGCTGATAGTAGTTAGAGTGATGTGGTCAGGCAGAAATCCTTTGCCAGTTTCGAAAAAACTAAACTAGACCAAAACAAACAAAGAATTCCGGGAAAAATAAAAATGCAAAACAAACTGAAAAACAAAGTAAAAAGGAACAATAGCCTGAAATTACAGCTATTTAGTGTTGCTTGAGTTGCTTGTTTGGAAATATCAGGGACCAAACTCTTATGTGTCTGCAGGCAGGAGCAACTAAACCATTTCCCTCCCTGCTGATGGCTGGGGAGTCCTTTGTGGTGAGGTAAGATGACAGTCCAGCCTTTAATTCCTGCTGCACTGCCAAGGGCCCTGGAAAAGGTTTATGCAGTGGGATCTCATGTCTCCTTACCAGCTGTCCTCTGCTTTGGTGTCCCTCTGGCAGCACTGGCATTGCTGTGTGATGATGATCCAGTCTGTGCTCGGGGCAGATTTTGGGGTCTCACTGGTGATGATGCAAATGCTTCCAGCACTCAGGCCTGGGAACATCTCGTGTTCATGCCCCTTCTCCTGCCAGACAGGGCTGATTTTAATGGGCTGTGCATAGCAAAAGAATCTGTTTCCCTATAACTCTTCTCCCCAGTTGTCCTGTTCCTCCCCCCTGTTCCCCCTGTTGCCGATGTGATGGCTGGGAATTGTTCCATCTCCCTTATTAAAGGCCTTTTCTCAGTAAAGGCAGCAATTAGCATGACACCTCCTTCTGTCATATCTGCATGGCCTAAAAACCCCAAAAGTATTGTTTCCCTGGACAGTGTGACTTCCCCCATCCTGGGGGGAATTCCAGCTGTGCTGTGTGTCCATGCTGGCCTTCCCCAGGCAGGGCAGGGAGCGGCGGCGCCGCAGATGTTTTGGCTGTGCAGACTTCATGGTGCAAATTTCCAGACCTTCCCTGGGGAAGCTGGAAGGGAAAAGAGAGCAGACAGGACAGCAGGATACAGTCACGCAGGCCTGCTGTCAAAATAGGGATAGCTTGGATTTTCCCCTTGGATCTGCACTGCTCCCCAGCGGACACAGTACCAAACACATCTGGCAGCTCCTACCCTTCACCCCTCACCTGGACAGGTGATGAATGCCCAGCCCTCTCTGCCCAAAAGGGCATTAGGAGCTGCCTGTGAGATGCTTTTCCCAGGCTCTGGATGTGCGTGCTGCCTTTCCCTGGGATTAGCTGTGTCTTGTTTCTTGTAGCAACTTTTCCTGGAAGCGGGCTGTGGAGCCCTGCTCTGAACTTGTATATAAAGAACAAATTCCCTGTGTGTCCTGGTCATGTTCCCAGTCCCTGACATGCACATGGAAGTGTTGCCACGCTTCATAAAGCAGCTCTCAAAGAGGAGTAGCAGAAAATCTTGGGGAACATGACGTGTGGTCTCAGTAGATCACTTTACCTGTCACTTCACTTTTCCCCTCTGTGTCATGCATATGCTTGCTCTCTGTCTGTTTTCATGGGAATAGAGATTCCTTCTTGCTGTGTGTTTGCCCCACCACTGGCACAATGGGACACAAATAACAGTCAGAAGCTCTGCTTCTGCTAGAACAGTAGATTTTTGCAAGGACTTCATCCCTTCTGTTTTTAAATGACACAAGGAGTGGGACTCCCCCTAACTCGCATTGCATCATCCCCACTGAATGAATACTGGGATCTTTCTTCTCCACAGCAAAGCTAAATTTCACTTTCCTGCAGTTCATCCTATTAGTTGTGATTGCACAGTGTTGGGAGTATTAAAAAATTCTTGTTCCTCCTTGGTTTTTAATCTCTTTGAGTATGTACAAGCAGTGTGGTGTCCCCTAAGTGACCTAAAGAAAGGATCTTGGCAATTTTAGAATCTAATAGAGTTTTCTCCCACTAGGGCGAGAGAAGTACCAGACGTTCAAACAAGACCATCCATTTTGAGATCCTGACCCCACAGCTCCTTCCTGTAGATCTCAGTGTTTGTGTCTTTTCATATTTACTGGTTATTGCAGAGGAGTGGTCAAAGCATGGTCCTGGGAGCTCCTGGGTTCTACTTCCCTCTCTGTTGTTGGGCTGCAGAGGAGAATCAGCACTTTAATTTCTGTAAATAGGGATAATGTAATAAATAGTCTTGGAGTTGCCCTTTTGGAAGGGAGTCAGTCTGGAGAGTGATTATGGGCATTCGATGCCAGAGGGCTTTGAGGGGCACGTGCAGAGGGATGTGCAGACACAGACCTCAGTGTGAATGTGGGATTTCTGTTCCTCCTGCCCTCTGCACCCTATTCCTGCTCTGTGTGTGTGGGGTGGCCGTGGTTGCTGTTACGCATATGGGGAAAAACCTTTGCCTCAGACAAGGCTGGCAAGAAGCAGGATGTGCAACAGCTTTCCCCCAGCATCGACAGAACCTCTGTCAGGGGTGATGTTTGTGCAGTGCTGCTCCAAATGATCCTCTCCCTGTGCTGCAGTAATGCAGAGACAGGAGAACAGAGCGGGGCGATGGGTGAGGGTCTGGGCTGAGCCACTGAGGAGTCTTGCAGCAGCTGAGCACGTCCCCCGTGAGCTGGGATTTAGTGCCGTGTTATTAGAGATGACACTGCGAGATTGCCGTTGGCAGAACATCATTTACGCTGACAGTTGTAGCAGCTCGCTGCAGCAGTGTCCCAGGAAATGGATTTTTCAGCCAAATATGTGTATGAAATACAATAACAGGGACAGAGCTTGGAGGCAGCTAAACACCTTCAGGTAGTTTTTGTTCTTTTGGTGTTTGCATTGCAGTGGCTTGCAGGAACCAAGGGAGAGCCCTGGTGGTTCCTGCTCCAAAGGGCTGTAGGAAAACAGAGCCGTTGACTGGGCTGAGCTTTGGGGATGGAGGGGAAGGTGCTGATGAAGTGAGCAACACTCGCAGTTGGCCACCACCTCGCGCAAACAGACGCGCTGTTACCACAAGTGGATTTTCAGTCCCTGCATGTGCGAATGACGTGCTGGATGCTGCCTTGGCGCTCAGCCTGAGCCCTGGCACCACGTGCTGGGCTTCTCTCGCGGCTTCCTGCACAGGTGCCGTGCAGTCAGGGGACAGGGAAGATTGGATTTGGGTCAGTGCTGCTCTGGTGTGACCTCCCTGAGTGCTGCCGGGCATTGATCCTGTGTGTGCTGCCCTTGGTGGAGAAGGGCAGCGTTAGCCAAGAGTGGAGGGATGGTCCCACCTGGACAAGGGTGGTCTTCCTCCGGCAGGAACCCATATGGCAGAGGCAGCAGCGCCCTGCAATGCTGTGGGGGCACAGCTATCCGCAG